TGGGGGGGAGGGGGCCACCCCTTCCCCCCTCCCCCCAGCCTTGGCCCTGCCCTGGATGAGGCAAGGGCCTGGAGTCCTCAAGCCCTCAGCCCCTGTGGAAAAAACATGCTGGGGGCAGGGAGAGGCCGAGGAGTGGAGGGGCTGGGGAGGATGGGGTGCTGGAAGACCCGGAGAGCTGAGAAGGGGGCAGGCGAGGTGGAGACGTGGGGAGGAAGGAAAGGATGAGGGAGGGGAGGATGGAGAGGGGCAGGTGGAAGAGGAAGGCAGAGGAGGGTGGGGTGTCCCGGGGGTGCCTCGGTGGGAGGGCCTGGCCACGGACTCCTGGTCCCCTGTGAGGAGCAGCCACTGGCTCCTGGTCCCAAGCTGGGCCTGCCTCCCTGCTGCCGGCCGCCACCGCTGCCCACTGCCGGCTGCCACCACCTCTCCTTCTCCCCTCCGAGGCCGCTGCCTGCCTGCCTGCCTGCCTGCCTGCCTGCCTGCCTGCCCGCCCGCCGCCCGCCCGCGCTAGGTCCGGGAGCCAGGGGGGGGTTGAAATGAGGGAGGGAGAGAGGGAGGCTGGGAGGAGGGCGGGCAAGAGGAAGGGAGGCAGGCAGAGAGAGGAGGGAGGGGATTCGGAGGAGGGGGAGCCTGTATTGGTCGGGGCTGGGGGCTCGCGAGGAGAATGCTGATGAGGGGAAGGCGCTGCATTGGACAGAGGGCCCACCCCCGGGCCACCCCCTCCACCACACCATGCCACCGCCCTGCCCAGGCAGCCCTTGGGCACAGAAGCCGAGGAGATGAAAGGCAGGGAGACCTGTGAAGGCCATGCTGCTGGTGGGAGAGGGCTACAGAGATGAAGAAATATGCAGAGGAAAAGCAAGACAGCCATCAAGATCCACAGGGGTGGGCGAAGGTCCACAAACCCCACAAGGACAAAGACAGGGAAAAGCCCAGAGAAAAGAAAGTCCCACTGAGACAAGGGAGCAGACCACAGCGACAAGCAGAGGACCTTGGAGATAGGGCACCTGTGGACCCAGAAAGCCCCCATGAAGATGGAAAGAGACCCATGGGAACAGAAAGCTCTTCTCTTCTGGCATGGGAGTGGCCCAAGGTGACAGGAGAAAGCCACAGACAGAAGACGCCCACAGAAATAGGATGCACATCACAGAGATGGGGGGAGGACCAAGAAGAGTGGGAGAAGGTCACAGAAATGGGGAGAGGGGAGACCCACAGACCCAGGAAACCCACAAAGACGACGATGTGGACATAAGAGGCCCACTGAGGCAGGAGGGGCCAACCCATGGAGACAAGGGAAAAGCCCCTAGAAATAGAAATAGCCCCCATGGAGGTAAAGGGATGGGATGCATAGAGAAATTCTTGGGACCTATGAAGATAAGTGGGTTCTCTAGTCACCTGAAGAGAGGCAGTGGGAAAGGACAGGGAGCTGGAGGGCAGAACCTACCAAAGTGGGAGACTTCCTCCCACTCAGGAGGGAGCTGAGCAGGGCAGAGGGATGGAAGAGAGCAGTGACACAGATATTGGAGTGGGGGTGGGTGGTGCACGGCTGGGTGGGGGGTGAAATTTGGGGGGAAGGAACATGGCAGTTGGCTCTGAAGGCTAAGCCTGTGACTCACCACCACCACCCCCAACACTCGTGATGGGGAGGAGACACTGACATACTCACGTGCAGCCCCCAGCACACGTGACTGTATGCTTCGCACGTGCACACGTGGCATGTGACAACTCTCACACTGGTCTGGCATGTGAAGCCCTTTGCATCTGGCATGTGGGATGTCCCAACATACATCTGACACATACATCTGACCCTGAAGGACCACTCACTTTGCACACACTTTCTCACCCTACTTGAGCAACATCTATTGTTCCCCGCACCCCCAACACCTATCCTCAGCTTCAGCTAGGCCTAAAAACCCAGACTCACGCCGCCCTCAAGACCTTTGCTTTTGCAGAGACTCCACTTCTCTAAATTGAACCTGTCCCAGAAGTCCTCGTCCCATACTACCACCTCTAGAAAGACTGATCCAAGCCTCAGCTTACTTACTCCCATATCATCTGAAGAGAAGGGACCTAGCCAACCCAGACAGGTTGGAAGGTCCAAATAGAACAGTGGTTCTCAACCTGTGGGTTGCGACCCCTTTGGGAGTCGAATGACCCTTTCACAGGGGTCGCCTAAGACCATCGGAAAACAAAAAGATACTTACATTACGATTCATAACTAGCAAAATTACAGTTATAGAGTAGCAACGAAAATAATTTTATGGTTGGGGGTCACCACCACATGAGGAACTGTATTAAGGGGTCGCGGCATTAGGAAGGTTGAGAACCGCTGAAGTAGAAGATCTGAGCAGAAAGGGGCCTGACGACCCAAGCTGCATTTTCAAGTGGGGAAAGGAGGCCTCAGCAGGAGTAAGAACCTGCCCAAAGGCACAGAGCCTGTCAAAGGCTGAGCCTACCTTCCAGGTTCTCTGGCTCCCACCCTAGGTGATTTCAACCTGAAAGCAAACAAATTACCAGCTTTACAGCTCACTGAGTCCCACCAACTTCTTTCCTCTACTTCTTGCATTTATCCATTCAACATGCCACTAAGTCCTGCCAGCCAGGCAGTAGAGCCTGGGGGCTATAAGTGTAGACCTTGGAGTCAACTCCTGGGTTGGAATCCTGGCTCTGTCTCTCAGTCTCTTCCTAATTATGAACAAGTTACTTAACTTCTCTGGGCCTGTTTTGGTTTTTTTTTGGTAAAGTGAGAATAATAGTTCCTCCCTTCTAGGGTTGTTGAGAGGATTAAACTAAATAATGCATGGAAAGCACTGAGCATAATACTTAGCACATAACACACTTCTGACATGTTAGATGTTATTACTTGAGGTCCTAATAAAAATAACTCTTACATAGCTTTAACTTTGTGCCTCACAATAACCATGAAACAGGGGCTATTATCCCCATTTCACAGATGCGGAAATTGAGGTATGGGGGAGTCAACTCCCCCATACCTCAGCTAGGCAACAGCTAGGAAGTGGCAGGGTCAAAATTCCAATCCAGGCAACCTGGTTTAATTACATGGGTCTAGGGAGTATAATCTAGTGGAAAATTGGGACACCCAGGAAGAAATCAATTGAAGGACATAGCAAAATGATGACTGAAGAGTCAGACCTAGGTCTTATACTCTGTGTTTGGGGTCTCCTGCCATAATAGCTTTTTGGCCTCAGGAACGTAGATGACCAATTCTTGTGAGACTCGTTATTCATCTGAGAAATGGTGTGTGTGTGTGGGTGCAGTTAGATCAAGTGCATCTCCTACAGCTCCCCTGTCCTTGGGTTTAGGGAATAGCTCTAGAAACGTTTATAACAGTGCTACCTGAGGCAACTTGTTCCCAACGTCCCCAGGGCCAGAAGGGGACAGTGAATAGGAAGAGCCAGAGACCCTTGGACGCAAGGAGACTCTCTCGTCCCTGAGCTGCAGGGGGTCAGCCTGGAAGGAAGGCACCCATGAAAGAAGCAGAGTACAGTCCATCTGCTATAGGGTCACTTCCTTCAGGTTCTCACTCTGGTTATCCTTTAGGTCACCTACCGCCCACCTCTCTCCCCCCCACCCCCCCACCCCCACTGCTTCTTCTGATAAAGATGAACTGGAACTTTAAGCAAGCATAATCAGTCAGGAAAGCCTGTGGGTTTATGGAAGTTCTCGCTCTACCTAATCCCAATCACAAGAACCCTACATGCAAGAACCCTACAGGAAGAACTCTGTTTATAATAAAGCTCTGACTCTAACTTCCCCTTCCATTAACTTCCTTTTTCCCTTCTACAAATATCCCTCCATCTTGGAACGCAAGTCAGAGCGTGCATGTGGCTTGCCATGTCTGCATGCACTGGATTGCAATCCTTTCCTTTTCCCAAATAAATCCTTCATGGTGACAAACTACTTAGTCGGTATTATTTTTCAGTCGACACTTCAAATGAAATTGCCTGTTCCTGCTTTTCTTTTTTCTCTATTTCCCATTTCCTCCTTCCCTCATATTCCCTCTCTCCTTGCTTTTCCTCTGACATTTCTCCTCCCCCCTCCCTTAAGGGTCCCTAAGTTTTTCTCCTCCACCTTCAGGATGCCTTTATTCCTCTCTATCAAAGTGAGTCTGGAGTCTTGATTTCCCCTTTTCTTAACCCCCCCCCCCCCCGTGATTGGTGGTATAGTTTCTCCTCTACTCTTCTAGCTGATTTGTGCTTCACTCTCTTCCTTCGCTCCTCGGGGGTGCCTGCACCTCAATACCCCTGTCCTCGTCTACCGCATGTCGTGTGCCTCAATTTCCACCACTTCTCCCTGGCTCCCTCACGACTCCCGCTAGGAGATCCCAAGATGGCGCCCGTAGCCTCGCTCCGCCGCCTTGACGTCATCGCGCTGCCCTCCCCTCCTGAGCCGTCAAACGTAGTCGACGAGGAGGTGGAGGAGGAGCATCCCCCGATCCCGACGCTCCATACTATTGGTTCAAGCTCGGAGACGTGAGCGTCGATTGGCCAAACGGCAGGGGCCAGACGGGCGATGATTGGGCGCGTTCGGCCGTCTGCCCGGCGGCCGGGGAGGAGAGGTGGGAGGGGCTTTGCTGAGGGCGATTGGGGGCGAGAGCGAGGCTGCGGAGCAGGCGAGAGGCGACGGCGGGAGCTAGAGAGGGCGCAGCGCTAGGTTTGGCCGCGCGAGGGGAGTAGCCGCCCGGGCCTGGGTCCGGGGCATGCGAGACGGCTGAGGCGGGTGAGTGCGGGCGGGCGCGCGCGTGGAGGGCCGGCCCAGCTCCCCACCCTCCCCTGCGGCCTGCTCTCGCCACCACCGCCTGCGCACTGAGGGCCGGAGGGGGGCGCGCGCTGGCGGTGAGGGCGGAGCGGCACCAACGGCCGGCGGAGCGCGCTGATTCCCGGGCGGGGGCCAGGCCGGGGTGGTGGGTGGGGAAGGGGTCTAGAGTCGTGTAAGGGGCCGAGTGAGGAGGGGCCGGGCTCAGGCTGGGGGCTGGGAGGGACCTGGGTGGGAAGGGAGGCGTTAGAGCTGCCCCCAGGAGGGTCCCCAAGGCTCCAGCGGGGTATCCGGAGCACAGGGTTTGGTCTTGGGACGGTCCAGAACAGAAAGGGGGTGGATGGTTAGAAGGCACTTGGGTGCCCGGGGAGGGGTTTAGGACGTGAGAGAAGAGGTAATTTAGTTAATGTAAAGAGAGGGTCGAGTTATACCGGGAAAGAATTAGGCCAGTGAGAGGAGTCTTGGTGTGAAAAAATATTAGGAAACGGACATCCCCGGAGGGCACAGTTAGAGATGAGGGAGAGGTCCAGGTGTGAAGAATGGGGTTACATTAATGTGAAGAGGAGTTAAACCAACGTGAAGGGGGGTTGGGTACCCTTGGAATGGGTTTGTGTGTGGGGGGTGTCTCTGTGCAAAGAAGCCTTGTTATGTGAAAAGGATGTCTGGGTGTCCCTAGAATAGGTTGGGTGGAGGTCGTCCTTTTGAAAAGTACAGGGAATTAGATCAAGGTGAAAAGTGGAAATTGGGTGTCCCTGGAGAGGGTTAGGGTGGTGAGAAAGATCTGGGTAAGGGGGTGTCTGGATATTGCTGGAATGAGAATGAACTGTTAGATTGATAGGAAATTGGAGGTCTGGGTGTCCCCAGGGTATATAATAAAGGTGTGTGTGTGTATTGGGGGTACCAAAAAATGTATACACATGACTTGTATTCATCTTTTGTTATCAGTATAGAGTACTACAATATTTATACAGTTTTTTCCTTTCTTAAAATGTGTATACATTTTTTTGGGTATCCTCTATATCTGGTGAGAGGGTCTGGATGTGAGGAAGAGGGATCTGGCTATGCTTCTGTCTGGGTTAGGATGTGGTGGTGTGGGGGTTCTGCATAAGAAGAGAGGGTCTCGGTATCCCTAAAGGGGAGTTGGGCAACGGGAGGGTCGATGTGTGAAAGGGGTTCAAGCCATTGTGAATGGTAGTCTGGATATATATCCCTGGATTGGGTAAGTGTGTGTGCGGGCTCTTTTTGCAAAGAGGAATGAAGTTGATATGAAGAGGGTAGGGTGTCTGAGCATCCCTAGAATGGTTTAGGGTGGGAAGGGGGTCTTTTTTCAAAGAAGAAAATATTAGGTTAATAATGTGAAGGGGAGGGGTCTTAGTGACCCCGGAATGATATATGGAGATGAGGGATTTAAATCAGTGTGAAGAAGGGATCTGGATATCCCAGAGGGGATTAGAATTGTATATGAGGTCTCAGTGCAAAGAAATGGTGATTGATGTGAAGAGTGTCTGGGTACCCCAGAGACGTGAGTTAGGGTGGCAGGAAGGGTCTAGGTATGAAGAAAGGGTTAGGTTTTTGTGAAGATGGGTCTGGGTATTCTGAGTAGGGGGTTAGGGTTGTGGGAAAGGGCCTAGATTTGAAGTAGGGGGGCCTGGGTTTCAGGGAGAAGTGGTTGTTAAGGTGGGGAAAGTCTGGTTGTGGAGGTGGGTTAGGCCTATGTGAAAAAAGTTGATCGGGGGAAGGGATAGTTTGATATGAGGAACCTGGGCACCAGAGGGAGAGAATTAATGTGGGTAGTAGAGGTTGTGTGTAAAGGAGAGGGATTGACCATGTGATGGTGCTGGAAGTGGCCAGATATTGTCCCAGTTTGAGTGGTTGAGAACCTGGGGGATGGAGCAGGGGAGGAGCAAGGCAGGCTGGGAGAAGCAGGTGGTTAGGGCCTATGTTGACTCCTGGGCAGCTGGGAGTAGGAATAGGGTTGTGAGTTGGTAAGGAGAGGAGTCAGTGGAAGGAGGTGTAACTAGAAGAGGGGTCCTTGAGATGGGTGGGGCCTTAAGCCAGCTGTGAGGCATGTGAGATGAGGGATTGGACAGGTTGCAAGGATCTGGTGGGTGGAGTTTGATGCAAGTTGATTCAGAGGTGAGACTTGGGTAGATTCACTGGGAAGGCACTGCCAGGAAGGTTTTGTGCTTGGTGCTGTTGTGTGTTTGGGAGAGGAAGGATTGTTAGGGGTGTGAAAGTGGCAAAGTGGAAGCAAGCAGTTAGATGGAGATATAGATCTAGGTGGGGGATGGTAAAGGGAAAGAACTACCTCTGGGACAGACTGAGGAAGCAGGGACTTAGTTGTGATTCGTCCCCACCTCTCCCCTCTTCCAGCCCAGGGCCTTGCTGCTGCCATGACTGAGGAGTCGGAGGAGACGGTCCTGTACATTGAGCATCGCTTTGTTTGCTCTGAGTGCAACCAGCTCTATGGATCCCTGGAGGAGGTGCTCATGCATCAGAACTCGCATGTGCCCCAGCAGCATTTTGAGCTGGTGGGTGTGGCCGACCCTGGAGTCACTGTGGCCACAGAGGCAGCTTCTGGCACGGGCCTCTATCAAACCCTAGTGCAAGAGAGTCAGTACCAGTGCTTGGAGTGTGGGCAGCTGCTGATGTCACCCAGCCAGCTCCTGGAGCACCAGGAACTGCACCTGAAAATGATAGCACCCCAGGAGGCAGTGCCGGCTGAGCCCCCACCCAAGGTTCCCCCCGTGAGCTCCAGTACCATCCATTATGAGTGTGTAGATTGCAAGGCTCTTTTTGCCAGCCAAGAGCTCTGGCTGAACCACCGGCAGACACACCTCCGAGCCACTCCCACCAAGCCTCCGGCCCCAGTTGTGTTGGGGTCCCCAGTAGTCCTAGGGCCCCCCATGGGCCAGGCCCGTGTGGCCATGGAACACTCATACCGCAAAGCAGAAGAGGGTGGTGAAGGGGCGGCTGTCCCCTCTGCTGCTGCCACCACCACTGAGGTGGTGACTGAGGTGGAGCTGCTCCTCTACAAGTGCTCTGAGTGCTCCCAGCTCTTCCAGCTACCAGCCGACTTCTTGGAACACCAGGCCACCCACTTCCCTGCTCCTGCCCCAGAGTCTGAGGAGCCTGCCTTGCAGCAGGAAACCCTGACCCCATCACCTGCAGAGGTCCCCGTGACTCAGCCTGATTCCCTGCCATCCTCTGACCATAGTTATGAGCTGCGCAATGGTGAAGCCATTGGGCGTGATCGCCGGGGGCGCAAGGCCCCTCGGAGGAACAACAGTGGAGAGCCAGGCGGGGCTGCCACCCAGGAGCTGTTTTGCTCTGCCTGTGATCAGCTCTTTCTCTCACCTCATCAGCTACAGCAGCATCTGCGGAGTCACCGGGAGGGAGTCTTTAAGTGCCCCCTGTGCAGTCGTGTCTTCCCCAGCCCTTCCAGTCTGGACCAGCACCTTGGGGACCACAGCAGTGAGTCTCACTTCCTGTGTGTGGACTGTGGCCTGGCCTTCAGCACAGAGGCCCTCCTCCTGGCCCATCGGCGAGCCCACACCCCAAACCCTCTGCATTCATGTCCATGTGGAAAGAACTTTGTCAACCTCACCAAGTTCCTTTATCACCGTCGTACCCATGGGGTGGGGGGTGTCCCTCTGCCCACAACACCAGTCCCACCAGAGGAGCCTGTCATTAGTTTCCCTGAGCCTCCTCCCCCAGAGACTGGAGAGCCAGAGGCCCCAGAGCCCGCCGTGTCTGAGGAGAGCTCAGCAGAGCCTGCTGCCCCAGGCACTTACCGCTGCCTCTTGTGCAGCCGTGAATTTGGCAAGGCATTGCAGCTGACCCGGCACCAGCGTTTTGTGCACCGACTAGAACGGCGCCATAAGTGTGGCATTTGTGGCAAGATGTTCAAGAAGAAGTCTCATGTGCGAAACCACCTGCGCACACACACGGGTGAACGGCCCTTCCCCTGCCCAGACTGCTCCAAGCCTTTCAACTCACCTGCCAACCTGGCCCGCCACCGGCTCACACATACAGGGGAGCGGCCCTACCGGTGTGGGGACTGTGGCAAGGCTTTCACACAGAGCTCTACACTGAGGCAACACCGCCTGGTACACGCCCAGCACTTCCCCTACCGCTGCCAGGAGTGCGGAGTGCGTTTTCACCGTCCCTACCGCCTGCTCATGCACCGCTACCACCATACGGGCGAGTACCCCTACAAGTGTCGCGAGTGCCCCCGCTCCTTCCTGCTGCGCCGGCTGCTGGAGGTGCACCAGCTTGTGGCCCACGCTGGGCTTCAGCCACATCGCTGCCCATCTTGTGGGGCTGCCTTCCCTTCCTCACTGCGGCTCCATGAGCACCGCTGTGCGGCCGCTGCTGCCCAGGGCCCACGGCGCTTTGAGTGTGACACCTGTGGCAAGAAAGTGGGCTCAGCTGCTCGGCTGCAGGCACATGAGGCAGCCCACGCGGCTGCTGGGCCTGGAGAGGTCCTAGCTAAGGAGCCCCCAGCCCCTCGGGCCCCACGTGCCCCTCGCACACCAGTTGCCTCTGCGACAACCCTTGCAGGCACTGCCGCTGCAGCCCCTGCAGCCCCTGCCCGACGCCGGGGCCTGGAGTGCAGCGAGTGCAAGAAGCTATTCAGCACAGAGACATCGCTGCAGGTGCACCAGCGCATCCACACAGGCGAGAGGCCATACCCGTGTCCGGACTGTGGCAAGGCATTCCGTCAGAGTACCCACCTAAAGGACCACCGGCGCCTGCACACAGGTGAGCGGCCCTTTGCCTGTGAAGAGTGTGGCAAGGCCTTTGCAATCTCCATGCGCCTGGCAGAACATCGCCGCATTCACACAAATGAGCGGCCCTATTCCTGCCCCGACTGTGGGAAAAGCTACCGCTCCTTCTCCAACCTGTGGAAGCACCGCAAGACCCACCAGCAGCAGCACCAGGCAGCTGTGCGGCAGCAGCTGGCAGAGGCGGAGGCTGCCGTTGGCCTGGCTGTGATGGAGACTGCAGTGGAGGCGCTGCCCCTAGTGGAGACCATTGAGATCTACCCTCTGGCTGAGGCTGAGGGGGTCCAGATCAGTGGCTGACCCTGCCCATTCCCTCTGCAGCAGCAGCACGCCCTGTTGCTGAAGAACCTCCTCCATCGTACCCTTAAGTCTCTGTACATACAGTACCCCTTCCTCCACTCCTCCCAACCACTGTGTAAGTTCTGTAACTGGATTTATTCTCTTCTGAGGGGGGGTGCTCTGGGGTCCTTGATATGCGTAAAGGTGCCCACCGCCCTTCCACCTGTTAGCACTGGTGACCCCAAGGTGAAACAGTCAATAAAGACTGAGTTGGACATTTAAATGCTTTTGGCTGGCCTGGCTGTGTGGGGTGGAATTTGGGAGCCATGAGCTGGTCTGACTTTTCATGGCTGCGTTCCCAGCGTCTAGAAAGGCCTGGCAAGTAGTAGGAGCTCAGTAAACATTTGCTGAATGTTTACTGAGATGGACTTGACGTCCAAGGGCTTGGCTCCTGAGGACTTGGGACTTCACTCTGGTGCTAGATGGAGGCAACATGGCTCTCTTGCCACTAGAGGTCCCCACAGCTTTGCAGAAAAGCTTGAAGCTGTTTTTAATGGTGGCAGGCACATTTGGGAAAATCTTCTCTGTTCTCACCACCTCTGTCCCCCACTTCCTGGCTTGATTGAGCCATCTCCCCCAAAGCATCTGGCTTTCTCACTATGGTTTCCTGAGGGTACATGCAGGTCTGGGAAAGGCATGATCTCAGGTGGCAGAGGAGGGTGACTCCAGGAGCCACCAGACCCAACTGGAGTTGGAGAAGATTCTGAGTAAGGGTTGGCTGGGGGAAGAAGCCTTATAAGGGGAGGGAGAGTTGAACTCTAGCTCAGCTATCATGTTTGTTGGGAGAGCCATGGTTAGGGTGGCTGACTGAATTTTGAACTTCTAGTTTGTCTCAAGTCCTGCATTTTTTGTAATCACCTTCAGACTAATGCTGTGTAAAGAACATTTTTACATGGAAGGAATCCAAAGTCAAAAGCAGTAAGGTGACTTGCCCAAGGCCATTCAACCCAGGTAGTGCAGAGCTTGAACTTAAGCCTAATTTCATTTGGTTTAATCACCTATATGCTTTCCTCTGCCCTCTGCTGCCTTCTTCATACTTGGGGGAGGTCAAGGGGGAAAGGAGATGGAGTGTGAGACGGGTGGGAATACTCAGTAGCTAAGGTAGTCTTCTAGGAGCCACACCCCAAGAAAAACACCCCTCCCCCCGCAAGATTACTCCAGTCTTTTTTTTGGCGGGGATCAGTGTTTTTCCAGGACCCATCAACTTCAAGTCAAGTAGTTGTCTTTAATCTAGTTGTGGAGGGTGTATCTCAGTGGCCCATGTGGGGATCAAACTGGCAACCTTGATGTTATGAGCGCTGTGCTCTAAACACCTGAGCTAACCAGCCACCCCCTACTCCAGTCTTTTTGTTGGAGAGAATTATTTGGAACACTAATAAAAGAGAGGTAAAATGGATGTTGTTTGTAGTGATCCCAGGGGAAAGGCCTGAGAACCGCCCACACAGCCTCTGCATTTCTCTGGACTCCCAACAGTCCTGCCACCCTCTGGGCAGTGGAGCTCTGAGACGACTGGGTTAGCCTGTGGCTTGGGTGAAAAAAGGAGGGCTCAGAGAGGGGAGAGACCAAGGCCACGCAGGTGGTGGAGCCAGGCTAGAAACTCAGGAGTTAGCTCACCTAACTCCATTAAGAGAGAGTTTGTTACATTATGCTTGCTTTAGTCATTTTTAAAAAGAAAAAGCACCCATTTGGTATCTTGACAGCTAATGAAGAGCAGTTATCTATTAAGCAGTTTTCAACCAGAGTGTATTGATCCTAGGCACCACCTTTCAGGAACCTCATACCCTGCAGAAAGGACTCAAACCAAGTTAGCCCAGCATGCCAGACCCCCTTAATCACCAAGTAGAGATGTGTCCTCAAATGGCCTCCTCTCCAGAAGAGCTATAACACCCTGACAGTCATACCAAATAAGTGCTTAGGACAATCGGAGGCTTTATGCTTGCAAAACCAGATAAAAATGAGGCTGAATCAAGAAAAAGGATGGGGGGGGGCGGGCGCTGGCTGAGTGGCTCGGTTAAGAGCGCGAGCTCTGAGCAACAGGGTTGCTGGTTGGATTCCCACGTGGGCCAGTGAGCTGTGCCAGAGCTGAGCTGCCGCTGAGCTGCCAGCAGGTGGCAGGATGGCTCAACTGGTAAGAGTATGTGCTCCTAACAAGGTTGCTGGTCCGACTCCCGCATGGGATGGTGGGCTATGCCCACCGCAACTAAGATTAAACACGGCGCCTTGAGCTGAACTGCCCAGAGCTGCTGACAGGCAGCCAGATGGCTCAGTGGTTAGAACGTGCACTCTTAGCAACAAGGTTTCCAGTTTGACTCCCGCATGGGATGGTGGGCTATGCCCACCCGCAACTAATATTGAACATGGCACCTTGAGTTGAGGGGCCGCAGGCTGCCAATGGACGACCGGATGGCGACTGGACTTGGAGCTGAGCTAGCTGCGCCCTCCACAACTAAGATTGAAGGACAACTTGGCTATTCCCCTTCCCCAATTTCCCAACACTGTTCCCCTTCCACAATTTCCCAATGAAATCTTTACAAAAAATAAAAAATGTTGGGGGGCGGATGGGTAGTTCAGTTGGTTAGAGTGCATGCTCTTAACAAGGTTGCCAGTTCAATTCCCGCATGGTGGGCTGTGCCCCCCACAACTAGAGTGAAAATGGCAACTGGACTTGGAGCTGAGCTGCGCCCTCCACAACTAGATTGAAACAACTACTTGACTTGGAGCTGATGGGTCCTGGAAAAAAACACTGTTCCCCAATAAAAAAAATTTTTAAAAAGGATGGGAATGGAGAAAAAAAAAACTGAGGGTGCTGGTTGATCCCAAGATAAAGATGCTTTCAGCAGAGAAGAATGACTCTGACAATGGGATGACCATCTTTATTGTGGTTCCTTTCTAGAGCCTCTAAAGAAAACTAGACTCCACACTAAGAAAAGTTTGTGTGCAAGCATGTTTATGAACAAGATTCACTGTTCACTATCACCCTGCTAAAATGTCCATGGTCCTCCGTTGAACCACTTGTCCTAAAAAACGATGGCACTAATGAAACATTTGTTAGATGCGGGGTTCGAGTTGGAAAGACAAAGTTTCTTGAACTTGACCAGGTGTTAGGCAAGTCCCCCAGAGGTTTGGATCCAGCAAGCACGTCTGGGTGAGACCCAGGAATCTGTTTTGAATACACCAGCTCTGATGCAGGTGACTTGCAGACACCTCTAAGAAGAGCCTTGCATGTGGAAGCTGCATACACAGAACCGTCAAGGAGACAGAACAGGGGTCCTCTAGTGCCCAGTGTGTTCTTGACAGAAGGAGGCCCAAGTATGGCTATAGGGGAGGGTATGTGGAGCAGTTGGGCACATTCGCAGGGCTACAGGTGGGTGCCTAGTTCAGTTTCACAGCGCTCTCAGGCGTGCCATCTGTGCCTGTCACAGGATGGCCTGAGCGACAAGGAACTTTTGGGTCTGTGCGGTTCTGACTTCACCACCCTGCAGGCAGGGGCTGGACTAAATGACGTTAGAGTATTCTGAGCCTCCATCCCAAATCCCATTTCCCCGTCCCTACTGACTTGTCTTTCAATCTTGCCAAACGATGCAGTGCTAATACCTTTAATCTTTCTAAATGACCCAAGCCCTCCCACTTTTCCTTTCTCCTCCCTATCCCTCACTATTCAATTTGCAGAATCCCAACACTTGAGTGCCAGGCATACATCAGAGGATGGAACAGTGACAAGGAGACATGATGGCAGTGAGAAGACCCTGTTCTGACACCATTTCTGATTTTCAGTGGTGAGGACTTGAGGATCAGCCCATGGCCTGGCCTGTGAAGCTGCTATTCCTGCCAAATGGCTTAGTGTAGGCAAAAAATTTGAGAATGAGAGTAATGTCGCTCTGAAAGAGAAGGGGCTGTGTACCTTGTTATCACCAGACAACTTCAAAATCAGCTCGGTTTTTAAAGGGTCTTGTTAGTCCTCTGGGGATGGAACTGGGAAAGTACTCTATTGCTTTCCTGGCTTTCTTATGGCTCTCATTTATTGAAGACAGTGTGCTGGAGATCTGTCCTAAGCATTTACATCATCACATCATCATTTAATTCTTACAACCCCAGCACAGGTATTGTCTCAGTGTTACAGATGAGGACACTGAAGTTCACATGAAGGTCACATAGCTATAAACTGGCAGAACGGAGATTTGAATTTAGGAATTTGAATTCATCCTAAGTTCTGAGGCTTGGGTTTCTGATTGACAAAAAAAAAAACACAAAAATTCAGGTCTCACTTCTGAACATACATTCACTGAACAGCGGTAAAGGCCTCCCCTCCCCCAGTGCACACATAACCCACCCTCGTACCCCGATTCCCCACCACCCTTCCCAGGACAGTGAGGAGACCAAGGAGAGCAGGCAGCATGTCTCTCTGTACAGTTTTTAATTTTTTATTTTTTGATGTTGTTCAGATGAATGACACACTCAAGTTACAAAAATGGGGCCTTAAAAGAAGCACATTGTACAATGAACAAGCAGATTGGAGTTAAGAACACTGAAACGCTAACCCGCTACCACGAGAAGAGACAGGAAGGGGGTACAGGATGACAAGGGAGGGGCTACCAACACAGGGGTCAGACAGAACTGAAAGAGGGGCTAACTTAGTGAGAGTGGAGGAAAGGCAGGTCTTCTCCAGGGCCTGCTGAATTTTGGATGCTACTTCTTGGTCTCCCTTGCCCACTGCTTGCCACCACCTCCCATCTCCATTCCAACCTGGTCATTCCAATGAGTAGGTGAGAGACACCCACCCCAGGGGCTGAGCCAATCAGGTTACCTGGTGGGGTGGTCACCTTGGCCTAGGGCAGCTTTGGATTTGGGAGGTGATGGTGGCAGCAGTGGAACCAGAAGCCAGGAAGGAGCCAGCAGAGAGTTGATCAAAGATCAGGCCCCTGCTTTCCCCCAAAGACTCCTTGCCCCTTCCGCACCCCACCATACTCCAAAGGCCCTCTCTACAATTTGTCGAGAGAGGACCCCAGTCACCCTGCAATTATATAAATAAATAAATACTGAGCCCCTGGGATTGGAGGACAGGTTGGGGGAGGGGCAGCAGGGAAAGAGGATAGGAGAGGGCAGAGGGGAGGGGTCACAGACATAGTAAATAGTTGTCTCCATCCCAGCAACACTTCTCTCTGGATTTTTCTCTCCTTTTTGTGTTTAACAAGGAGCTAACATCTCAAGGACAAATACTTAAAAATATACATTATTTTTTCTTTTTTGTTTCGCCTTTGTCATCGTCATCTTGCTTTGGAGACTGCTGAGGTCAAAGTTCAAGCCGCACTTAGGAACCGCGGCTTGGAGTTTTTGTGTATTTTTTTTATTTTTTAATTTTTTTCACTTTTTTTTCCAACGTATAAAAAGGTAGCGGAGTTGTCTGTGGGTTTTTTTTTTTTTTAATGGTTAAATCTTTGGTTTGTTTCTTTTTTCTCTTGGAGGCCTTTATCTCTCGCACTTGCCTTTCCCACTCAGAGGCCAGTGGGGACCCGCGTGTCTCAATCTTGCTCAGTCTGTCTCACTCTCTCTCTCTCACTCAGTTCCCCCTACCCTGGGCTAAAGGGAGAGAGGCACCCTGGGATTTGGGTGGGTGAGGAAATCGAGTCAGGTCAGGTCAACCCCTACGTGGCTAGTCCTTTATTCTATCTTCTCAAGGAGCGAGGCTCAGAGAACCGCTCTTGGCCCTCCCCAGGGAAGGGATGTGTGGGAAACTCATTCTTCCCGCTCCTGATCTTAGTCCCAACTCATACAGGGGCCTGGATTCCCCATCTCCACCCACCCCCACTTACACCCCAGCCCCTCCCTCCCAGAAGAGAACAGAGAGGTGTTTTAGTTACTGGCATTTTTTCTTTTTTCTTTTTTTTTTTTTGGCACAATTAAAAGGCCCACCATTAGGATAGACCCAGCCTCTGTCCCTCCCTCAAGTAGGAGGTCATGGTTGGGGAGAAATTCAGGGGGCTCCCCGTTTCTCCAATCCAGTCATTTTCCTCTCTCTCTAGCCCAGGCCCCTGGCCCCCCCACCTCAGAAATCTCGCCTAGCTCAGAGCCTGGCCTGGAGTCTCCCTTCCCAACCCCACATAACGTTCCCCAACCCCCCCAACTCTCTCGCTCACACACAGACACACGGACACAGGCTCTGTACAGACCACAAAATAAAAACGATGAGATAGTTTTGTTTCCCGGAGTCAAGACGGGGGACTGGAGTGGAAAGGGCAAGAGGGGGGTGAGGGGCATGAATTCCCCCATCACCTTCCCAACCCTGGCTCCCTCCTGTCCCCCAACCCCTTGCCCTGGCTGGCCCCCAGCCAACGATATTTGGTTTCCTTTTTTTAACATTAAAGTTCTATGAGGTATTTGGTGCCTTATCTCGAGTCCTCAGGGGAGGGGGCCCAGGGGGGAGACCTGGGGCACACTTGCCCCTCCCTCCCTCCTACCCCCTTCCCAATATTTGGTTTCACAGCTGTAGTTAAAGCTTGGGATTTGGTTATTTTTTTCCCCCTCCCAGGAATTTTCTTTTATTCTTGTTTTTCTTTTCCTAGTTATGGGGGTTGGATGGGGTGGGTCCCCACCACCCCCGGCTGCATGGGGGTCCCTCCACCAGTG